AGTCAGCTCTATAAAATGATCAGACTTTTTATTTAACTCCACCAAATATTCTACTTAAAAAAAAAACTCGTAATTTTGTGAATGAGATTAAATTTTAATTATTAATTCCCAACATATATTCCATAAAGATTTCTTACTAAACTTATGTGGACTAAACATTTGTTCCATTTTGATCTGAAATTTAAGTTGGTTTATTACCTGTGACCAAGTAATGAAATTCCCATTTTTCCAATTTCTGGATATAACAATTTTGGTAGGTAAAAATAAGTGAGTTATAGTTAAATTATTCCCTGGGTCATAGAAGGTCAGTTTAAATTTAGTAATTTTTGTAGTAGGATTCATTCAAAATGTATTCATTTTAAAATAAATTTGTATACTTCATCCCATAATTTTGTTTTATTTTTATGCAGTTTCACCATATATGAAGGTATATGTCTGTTGATAACCCACATCTCCAACATAAATGGTCCTCTGTAGGAAACATCCTATGCATTTTTTTCTAAGACTAAATCCCATTTATAGATTACCTTAACATGAGATTCTAAAATTTTTTGTCACGGTAGATCCCCACTCTATCATTTCTATGTCAATATTCAATTATTTTTTCCAAATATCCAATTTTATTTAATGTACTGTTATAAAACTCTTTAACCTTAAAAAGTTAAATTGTTCTTTTGATTGTATATTAAATTCATTCCTCAGTAGGGGAAAAGATTTAAGTGCTCCATTTTTTAATAACTGAGATATCTTGTTTATCCCCACTTGTATCCACTTACTTAAGGTTACAGACTTGTTGTTCAATAAATTTCAGATCAAGATGGGTTGGAATTTTGTTTTTAATCTTTAGCGTTGCTTTGATTTTTCCCAATTTTTGGGATATTGCCTTTTCCCTATCAATTTAGTGCTCCAGACCAGATCTTCTAAACTTATAACTTTACTTGCGTTAGCCTCCATCTTATACCATCCTTCATTGCTGTTATTACTTAATTGCAGTCTATAAACATGTAGTATTATAGAGGCTATATAATTATTCTTTATAATCGGATATCCAATACCTCCCTTGCTCATCTTCTGGGCTAAGGTAATCTTACTTAATCTTGTTTTTTTGCCTTTCCATAAAACTCTTTTGAATTATTTCAATAATTTTCTTAAATACGTACCTGGGGATTTATATGGGAGATGTATGTTACATAGAATATATAGTTTTTCATTTATTTGCAAACAACTACTAAAAATCTACCTTCTGGATCAAATAGTTTGTAGAGTCTTCAACATTTAATTTCCCCCCAAATATTATAGCTACACCACATTTGTTTTGTTTTATCGTAAGCATGAATAATGTTTGGGAAGCTCTTTCCACCAGGGCCGGATTAACATAGGGGCTGATGGAGCTGCAGCTCCAGGCCCAGGCCCATGGAATAGGCCCATTTAAAAAAAAAAAAAAAAAATTTTTTTTTTTTTTTTTTTTTTACACACTACTCTTAGGTTTGCCACCTGACTGGTATTTTATTGGCACAGCCGGTATTTAAGGCTGCCTGGCCGTGCCGGTATTGCAGTAATACCGGCAATACAAATGCAGGTATTTTTCTCAGAATAAATGGAGATTACTCTGCAATACCAGCACCGGCCAGTAGGGGTCACTGTGTGTGGAGAGAGGCAGGGATAGGAAGTTACAGCATATCCATGCCTCTCTCTACTACTCACTGATCTGTGGGGGAGCAGCTACACAGCTCAGAGTCCAGACAGCAGCTCTACAGCTCAGGTAAGTGAGGGATGGGGGAAAAGGCAGCAGGGACATATGGGGACATTGAGACACTAGGGGACACATGGGGACACAGACACTAGGGGACACAGACACTAGGGGACACTGAGACACTAGGACACATGGGAACACAGACACTGGGGACACTAGGGGACATATGGGGACACAGACACAAGGTGACACATACACTAGGGGACACATGGGGACAAAAAACACTAGGGGACACAGACACTGGGAGACCTAGAAACACTGAGACACAGGAAAACTTGGGGACACCGGAAAACATGGGGACACTGAGACACTAGGGTACACTGGGAAACATGGGGATGCTGAGACACATGGGGATGCTGTGAGACATAGGGACATTGGGAGACACTGAGACATTGGGACACGGAGACACTATGTCCCCATTTCTCCCAGTGTCCCCATGTCCCCCATCCAGTGTTGCTAGAGTCTCAGTGTCCCCAAGTCTCCCAGTGTCTGTGTCCCATGTCTCTCAGTGTGCCCAATGTCCCTATATGTCCCAGTGTCCCCATGTCTATGTCCACAACTGTCCCCATGTCTCCCAGTGTCCCCAAGTGTCTGTCTCCCAGCCAGTGTCCCCAAGTCTCCCAGTGTCCCCTAGTCTCCCAGTATCTGTGTCCCCGTGTCTCTGTGTCAGTGCCCTAGTGTCCCCATGTCTCCCAGTGTCTGTGTTCCTAGTGTCTCAGTGAGCCTAGTGTCCCTATATGTCCCAGTGTCCCCATGTCTATGTCCACAACTGTCCCCATGTCTCCCATTGTCCCCAAGTGTCTGTCTCCCAACCAGTGTCCCCTAGTCTCCCAGTGTCTGTGTTCCCATGTCTCTGTGTCCCTAGTGTCTTAGTGTCCCCAAATGTTTCAGTGTCCCCATGTCTCCCAGTGTCTGTGTCCCTAGTGTCTCAGTGTCCCCATTTCTCCCAGTTTCCCTAAATATCTCAGTGTCCCCATGTCATAGTGACATGGGGACACACTGAGACATTGGGACACTGGGAGAAATGGGGACACTGAGACACTGGGAGACTGGGCGACATGGAGACACTGACACTGTGATACATAGAACACTGAGACATTGGGTGACTTGCGAGACTGAGATACTGGGAGCAATCCATCTATACAGCAGAATCAATCTGTGAGTAGTTTGTTGGTAATTTTACAGAATTTTCTCTGATGTCACTCCTTGTGATTATACAAATGATTAAGGCTGGTATTTTTTTCCAAGAAAGGTGGCAACCCTAACTACTCTTCACATACTCTTGCTTAAAAGAGCACTATAGAGTCAGAAACACAATCATGTATTTCTGACCCTATTATGTTAAAACCACCACCCTGGCCCCTTCTTGCCTCCCTAAGTATAGTAAAATATAACTTGTATTCAAGTCTGCAGCTGCTGGCTCTGCCTCTGAACAGACTGTCTGCTGACATCATCAGAAGTGGTGGTCTGAGCAAATTACAATACTTCCCCATAGGATTGGCTGAGACCGACAACTAGGCAGATCAGGGGCAAAGCCAGCACAAGTCCAACATAGCCCTGGCCAATCAGCATCTCCTCATAAAGATAAATTGAATCAATGCATCTCTATGAGGAAAGTTCAGTGTCTGCATGCAGAGGGTGGAGACACTGAATGGCAGTGCGGCACACTAGGCAGTACTGCCCCAGGAAGCACCTCTAGCAGCCATCTAAGGAGTGGCCAGTGGAGTTATTTTCTCTGAAAAGACAGTGTTTACTGCAAAAGGCCTCAATGGAATGATTCTACTCACCAGAACAAATACAACAAGCTGTAGTTGTTCTGGTGACTATAGTGTCCCTTTAAGTTTGTTAGCTTAAGAGGGATGTATGGGAACAAAACTTGTGTAGACTGGCTGACAATAAAATTAGTTTAGGTAATGCAGACGTTGGTCTCTCTAACACTGTGGCATGTCCCCTTTCTTCTACACTCACTACATACACCTTTTCTCTGTCTCAGACTATATACCAGGAGCTTCTGCCTGCTAGTAAGAAGGTAAGGAGACAAGTGGACCAGCAAGTGCTAGGGGACAGTCCTTAGAAAGCATGGAGTGAGCGCATCATTAGATGCATTTATGTCAGGTGCTGCCTGCATAGTATGCCCTTAGTTGGACATCCTGCATGATTGGCGGGCAGCCTGACATGCATTCATGCCAGGCTGTCCTTCAAATTCTTTGGACAGACATGCCCCCTTTTTGGGCATGTTCTCCCCTTTTGGCAGGTCTGGTCACGTGATTCGCACCAGTGGCCCACCCTTTTACCCCGTCCATTGACTTCCTGCTTCACTGGACACTGCTGTTAGGGGCTATGGATTTACTTGAAAGATGAAAGCATAAATTAGAGAGAGATTAGCATAGAGTATGTTTTTTCTTATAACTGCATCCTATGAGTTTCCCTCCAGCACCATCTCCATCAGATACATGACGCTTGGGAGGAATGACTGATTTAGTGTTTTTGGTCGATAAGATTCCGTAATTAGGCCCATCATAATTGTCAGCACCAGGCCCAGTGTGCTCTTAATCCGGCCCTGCTTTCCACCCCAAGTTAGCTTCTCAGATTGTCTCCAATGGGTTTCTTGGAGGAAACCTACATCAATTTGTTCTTTAGTTAGATATTTATATAATAAGGAATCTTTGTGTTGTGAGTTCCTTACCTGGATATTTAATGGTATCATTTAATCCCCAAAAAAATTCTGTGTATCTCCTCTCTCTCTTTTCTGACATATCTCTGTACCATTTTAAAAAAAAAAATAAAAATTTACAAATACACATAAATACAAAAACATACATCTAAAATCAATTAGGGATTTACATCCCAAAGTATGCAAAGGCTGTTCCCTCCACATATCAAGGATTCAGCCTTTTATAGACACTAAGTGGGTTTAGGCCCGGTCAGGCATTTCTATATTTCCACTAAAGAAGTACCTCTTTTCACTATTTCTATTGTCAACAGTCCTAGTTATAATTACTACTTTTACATTAGTTTTAAAAAAAATTCTATTTTTTTTTTTATTAATTTATATCTTTAAATTTATGTGAATTATATATATTTTTCTAATGATAGCTCTAAGGATCCAATAGTGTCAATTTCCAAAAGTGACTATAAGTATATTTTACTTAGTGCAGTATAAAAATATAACATTATATTTACGTATACATTTCTGTATTCATTTTATATATATATATATATATATATATATATATATATATATAAATATATATATATATACACATGTGATTTATATTCAATCTCCTCATAGTATCCTAAAAGATCCCTTATTAAATTTATTTTATCTATAACTATTAATTTACTTAGTGAAAAAAAAACCCCAAAAAAACCTAACCATACAATAATCTATTCATTTCTTTATATGAATTTTTCACTCTTCCCCTTACTTCCCTAAGGATTAGAGATGAGCGGACACCTGGATGTTCAGTTTCGCCAGGTTTGGCCGAACATCGGCAAAAAGTTTGAGTTCGGTCTCGAGTTCGGCACAAGTTAGAATGTGGGCAACTCAGCAGTCGTTGTGCAGGCACTTTGGTGCGCCTACCATAGTGACCACGGGTAAAGGGGAATCAGGGTTTGATATCGGAGAGGGAGCCTGAGAAACGGCTACCACATCCAAGGAAGGCAGCAGGCACGCAAATTATCCACTCCCGATGTGGGGAGGTAGTGATGAAAAATAACAATACAGGACTCTTTCGAGGCTCTGTAATTGGAATGAGTACACTTTAAATCCTTTGGCTAGGATCTATTGGAGGGCAAGTCTGGTGCAGAGTGATTGACCCGTGCGTGCTGCAGCTGAAACTCCACTATCGTCTGCTGCTGCTCGCACGGTCTCTCCATCATGTGCAAGGTGGAGTTCCACCTTGTGGGCACGTCGCATATGAGGCGGTGAACGGGAAGGCTGAAGTTACTCTACAGCGCAGACAGGCGAGCAGCAGCAGGGTGAGAACGCCGAAAGCGCGCACAGACAGCCCGCACTGTCTGGAGCAGCTCTGATATACCTGGGTATTTTTTCAGGAATTTCTGCACCAATAAATTCAGCACATACGCCAGTCAAGGGATGTGAGTCAAACCGGCTAGGCCAGAGCTGCTACGAGATTTCGCCCATTATCGCACACCACCAGGCCGGGGTTGAGGCTCAGTGGCAACAACCACTCATCGGTCTGTTGTTCCATGCCCGTCCACAGCTCCTGCGCGGTGTGGGTTTTTCCCCCCAAACATATGAGTTTTAAAGCAGCCTGCTGTTGTTTCCCCCTGGCTGTGCTGAAGTTGGTGCTGAAGGTGTTACGCTGACCGGATGAGGAGGTGCTAGAGGAGGAGGAAGCGGAGTAGGAGAAGGAGGCAACAGGAGGCAAAGAGAAATGCCCTGCAAACCTCAGTGGCGGAAGGACATGCGCCAAACTGCTATCCGCCTCAGGCCCAGCCGCCACTACATTTGCCCAGTTTGCAGTTAGGGAGATATAGCATCCCTGCCCGTGCTTACTGGTCCACGTATCAGTGGTTATGTGGACGTTGCCACAGATGGCGTTGCGCAGTGCACACCTGATTTTGTCCGCCAATTGGTTGTGCAGGGAAGGGATGCCTTGCCTGGAAAGCACCTCCATCAAGTTTTTAAAACTGTCCGTCTCCACCAGAAGGAATGACAGCATTTCAAAGGCCAGGAATTTTGAAATGCTGGCATGCAGGGCCAGGGATCATGGGTGGGAAGTGGGGTACTTCCTCTTTCTCTCCAGTGATTATTTGTATTTTTATTGGACTGCAAGAAATGCGCCGCAAATGTTCTATTTAGCACAAAAAAGTGTGATTTTTTTTTTAAACCAACAATGTAACAGTAGTATTTAAGGGTTTTATTGGACTGCAAGAAATGCAACACAGGCAGAAAATGTACTATTTAGCAAAAAAAAAAATTGAATTTTTCAACCTGCGATGTAACCACAGTATTTGACGGTTCTATTTGACTCTCAGATATGAAGTGGACGCCACAAATTTACTTTTTAGCACCCAAAAAATTTGAATTTGTCAAACTGCAATGTCACAGCAGTATTTGATGGTTCTATTTGACTCTCAGATATGAAGTGCATGCCACAAATTTACTTTTTAGCACCAAAAAAATTTGAATTTGTCAAACTGCAATGTCACAGCAGTATTTGACGGTTCTATTTGACTCTCGGATATGAAGTGCACGCCACAAATTTACTTTTTAGCACCAAAGAAATTAGAATTTTTCAAACTGCGATGTAACCACAGTATTTGACGGTTCTATTTGACTCTCAGATATGAAGTGCACCGCAGGCAGCAAAAGTACTATTTAGAACCCAAAAAAATAGAATTTTTCAAACTGCGATGTAACCACAGTATTTGACGGTTCTATTTGACTCTCAAATATGAAGTGCATGCCACAAATGTACTTTACTGGCTAATCATGGCAGCATCACTTATAGGTAGCTCTGCCCCAATCAGGAACAGGACAGGAAAAAGATTCAATTAATCTGGACTAGACTGGGGTATAAAAGGTCCCTACTCCTTCCACCCCACAGTCTTTTTTCCTGTCCTTTCAGGACAAACTGGATATTTTTTGGGCCACCTTCCATTGTGTACCATGGGCTTCCAGATGAAGTCCAGCCTCTCTTCATCTGAAGAACTCAGTAAACAGCCTGCACAGGCAGGACTTACTGAGTTTGGTACAGATTAGCATCTGTACTGCTTTGTGGGAGAAAAGGATAATTAGCCTTCTATATTAATGATGTGGGGTCGGCTGTTGCCTTAAAAATTCCCCTTATGGCATCAAACCCCCCCCCTGATCTGAGAGCAGAGAATTTGGAGAAGCCAGGGTAAGTCTTGGGACCAGGGGCGTACCTAGAGCATTTGGCACCCGGGGCTGGTCCTATTTTTGGCTTCCCCCACCCCCTCAACTTTAAATGTAAAAAACAACCAAAAAATGTTTTTAGCACTGAGCAATGTTTGTGTGTGAATGTATGCATGTTTTTGTATGGTGTATGTGTGAGTGAATGTAGGGGTGTGTTTGTATGTAGTGTTGGTGTTTGAATGCAAGCATGCATTTGTGTGTTGTGTGGTATTTGAATGCAGTTATGTGGTTATATACATAGGCGTGCGCACAGGGTGTGCCGGGTGTGCCTGGGCACACCCTAGTCCCTGCGGCACGCCTATGCATTGAGACCGGCACGGGGGATCTCAGGATCTCCCCTGTCGGCTCATACAGAGCCAGCGCTATCAAAGCACCGGCTCTGCTCTCAGCCTCCCTCCCCACAGCAGCATGGAGGGAGTCAGGAGAGGACCCGGGGAGCTCAACCGGCAGCTCCGCCGGGTTCCTCTCGCGAGATTTTATAGAGTGTGAACTCTAGCCACACTGGACCACCAGGGAAAGCAGCAGGAACAAGAATCCCCCCTCCCTACATAAGGTAAGAAGGGAGGGGGGATATTAAGTAATTTACCCCCACCTCCACCCTCCACAATCACCCACACACATACAGCACACACATACACACAGACACACAGCACCCACACACACACAGCACCTACACACATACAGCACACACGTACAGCACACACATACACAGACACACATCACTCACACACACACACATACAGCACCCACACACACACACACCACCCACACAGCACCCTCACACACACACAGCACCCATGCACACATACAGCACACACACAGCACACACACAGCACACACACAGCACACAGCACCCACACACATACAGCACACACGCATACAGCGCACACACGCATACAGCACACACACGCATACAGCACACACACACATACAGCACACACACACTGCACACACATACAGCACACACACACATACAGCACCTTCACACATACAGCACCCACACACACAGCACCCACACACACACATACAGCACCCACACATACATCGCACACACATACAGCACCTTCACACATACAGCTCACACATACAGCACACACACACACACACATATAGCACCCTCACACACATACAGCACACACACATACAGCACCCTCACACACATACAGCACACACATACAGCACCCTCACCCACATACAGCACACATATACTGCACACACACACACATACAGCACACACACACATACAACACACACAGAACACACATACAGCACCTTCACACATACAGCACACACACAGCACCCACACACACACAGCATGCACACACATACAGCACCCACTGTCATGGTACCTGTAATATCCACCTCAAAGGATGTCAGGCATCAGGACATGGTCCCCCGGTCATTTCAGCATTTTCAGCCGTTTACATGATGGCTGCGATAACTCCGCCCCCTTTTATGACGCGACGCCCAATAGCCGACGTCATGATGTCATTGACGTCACGGATCGCCAGAAACCACAAATCAGGATCTTTTGGGGGCGTGGTCACCAATTAAGGAGCCAAGGTATAAAAAGGAATCATTTGCAATAACTCATTGCCCTGTCGTGGTTCTAGCTTGGCTGGTCACTCAGTGCTCTTGGTTCCTTGTTATTATTTGGTTTTGACTTGGCTTCTATTATCGTTCTTGCTACCTTCTCCTACCCTTTGACCCGGCTTGTCTCTCGCTTACCTGTCCTCCAGTTCCCTCGACCTCGGCTTGTCTTTTGACCATTCTTTGTCTCCTCTACACGTTAGTCCAGCCATTCTAAGGTCCGATTTACTTACCTTGTCCTGTCTGCATTCTGCGTTTTGGATCCCTGTCACGATCCTGACATTACGACAGGGCCAATGGATCCTGCAGGTTCTAGCTCTCAGATCAGTTCCTCTGACTCTAGATTTGAAGCCATGGACCAGATGGCTCTAGCTTTACAGTCTTTATTAGCACGTCCTAGTAATCAGCCTGAGGAGATGCGTACTACCACTATCAATCCTGTAAGCACTGGTTTAGAGTTAGCCACAGTGGGTGCCTCCTCTCGTGTTACTCCCCCTTTACGCTATGGTGGGGCACCCGATACTTGTCGAGGTTTCTTAAACCAGATAAGCATTCATTTTGAACTACAACCCCGAGCATACCCTACTGACAGAGCTAAGGTTGGATTTATAATAACATTACTAATAGACAAAGCTCTTAGATGGGCTAATCCTCTAAGGGGAAAATGATAACCCTTTGGTCTACAATTATAATGCTTTTGTCGCAGCTTTCAGGAGGACTTTTGACCCCCCAGGAAGGAAGGCCAATGCAGCCAGGTCACTGTTACGTCTTAAACAGCAGAATAGAACCCTTGTGGATTATGCTCTAGAGTTCAGATCCTTGGCGGCAGAAGTCAAATGGAATGAACAGGCTTATATGGATGTATTTTTGAACGGGTTATCTGATGAGATTTTAGATGAGATTGACACAAGAGAACTTCTGGAAAATTTGGAAGATTTAGTGTTGTTTAACTCCCGAATAGATGAACGTATGAGACAGAGGCAGAATACTCGGGAAAGAACCCGTATACCCTCTATAAGACTTGCCCCTTCCTTCCAGAATCCTGACTCCACAATCCTAGCCCTTCCTGAACCCATGCAGATAGGGACTACTCGCCTCTCCGAGGATGAGAGAGAATACAGGAGAAGGGAGGGTCTTTGTTTATATTGTGGTCTAAGAGGTCACCTGCGCCTAAATTGTCCTACCCGGCCGGGAAATGCTTGCACCTAAGTTCCTTTAGAGGACAGGCCTTGGGTGTTTCGATCTTGTCCTCTATGTATAATTATAAAGACCATAGGCTTCTTATTCCTCTCTCTTTAGCTTGGGAAAGGGGAGTTATAACTACGATGGCTTTAATAGATTCCGGAGCTGCTG